TGGTGTTGGCGTTGCAGCGTCCAGTCCATCCGCTCGATTGACTGCCCCATGCCATCCACTGTGAGGGTTAGCCGATTCAGAGTATCGGCTATGGACTGTAAGGACGCCTTGGCGGGAGCGGAGGCAGGGGCAGGGGCACGGGCACGACTCGGTCCAGCGCCGGTTCCGTCACCGGACTTCTTCCGGAAGGTGCTGTCTTGGATGATCCAAATCTTTGTCATCTTCGTATCCGGGCCGGCGATGGAGATGTCGGCGGAGATGATGAGGTCCATGACGAGGAAGGCGTATGGCAAGCTCCGCTCAGTGGCGATGGAGGCGCAATCCGCCATGTGGATCATCACGAATTTCGCCCAATTGATGGAGGCGCCGTGGATGATGGCATGAATCGCCTTCAAGTCCTCGTTGAAGAGCGAGGTATGGCTGCTGTCCCGGGGGCGGAGAATCCGGGGGATGATGTAGAGGAGGAGGCGCTTGTCCGGTGGGGCCGAGTGAATCGTCGGTGCGCCGCTGTGACGGATGAGGTTGGTGATCCCAAGCTCTCGGATGACCACCGCCTCGTTGTTGAGGATCCAATCATCGCCACCATAGATTGCGATGTCGTCACCGCGGATGGGCAGCCCTGCGACCCGAGCGAAGGTAGGCAAATCAATCTCTATGTCGTAGAGATTGATGCTACTGCGAATGGTGTCCCCGTCCCGGCAGAGATTGGAGTAGAAGGCTCGCACAAAGGCGGGATTGAAGCTCGAGCGGCTCCTGGAGACGAATGACCACAGACCCGATGCTTGAAGCTGATTGTCGAGGTCGTGGTACCCCTTTTGTTGAGGGTACAACTCGGGTAGCACCCTAGGCGGAGAAATGGGACGCTTGGCAAAGTGCGTGAGGAACCGGTTGAGTTCCTCCTCCGACCCGAACTCAAGAAACGAGCCGTCCAGGTAGGGGAACGGCGGTGGCGCTGAGGTCGTAGCTTCGGCGTTGCCCTTCTTCTTGGAAACCGTTGTCTTCTTTCCTCCGGCCATGAATGAAGCAAAAAGATGAAGAATTGTGTAAAAGAGGAGATTTTGATGTGAAAAATGTGTGTTAAAATGAGTAGAGATGAAGGATATATATAGGAAAGGGTGTGAAATTCGTTTGAAATTCAAAAAAGTGACTGTTGGGCAATAAATTTGGTGACCAACGGTTAAAAAATTTGAATTGGCAGCAGGCTTCCCAGCGATGGGTGGAACTTCCCATCGATGGGAAGGTCGAGACTGGAAAGTGAAGAAGAAAACAATGGCTGCCTTCCCAGCGATGTTTGCATTTGCCCATCGATGGGAAGGTGGCTTCTGGAAAAAGAACATGGTCTTCCCAGCGATGTTAATACCATCCCATCGCTGGTTTGGTATTTTTGAAAATCCGTTTAAGAATTTTTTTAAAAAATAGTGTCAAATACCCAGCGATGAGAGGAACTTCCCATCGATGGGTTTGGAGGTTTTGAAACAAAAAACAGGAACTCACCCAGCGATGGGATAAACTACCCATCGATGGGTAAAGGCGTTCTGGAAGTCTGTTAAAAAAATTTAAGTCAAACACCCAGCGATGGGAGAAAGTTCCCATCGATGGGATGGGAGGTTCTGGAATTCTTTTTTTTGGATAAAAGTCCTTCACCCAGCGATGGGACAAAGTACCCATCGATGGGTTAGGGTGTTCTGGAAATCCGTTAAGTATTTTTAAAAATTAGAGTCAATTACCCATCGATGGGAAGAAGAACCCATCGATGGGAAGAGGGGTTCTGGAAAAAGAGAAACTTCCCTCCCAGCGATGGTATGGCCTACCCATCGCTGGTTCCCCCTGATTTCCAGAGTTCTTCACTTCGAACCGTCCCTGCAAAAAAGATTTAGAAAACCCTCTGATGCTCAAGTTAGTAAACGTTCCATTAACAATAAAAGAATGATAAAATGCACAAATTAGATCATCGTGGAGTCAAGGATTCCGAGTTCGCTACGAATGCAGAAGAACGACTCTTTCTCTAAAGGTTTTGTGAAAATGTCGGCCAATTGGTTGTGTGTTTCAACAAACTCAATTTCGACATCACCTTTGAGAACATGATCTCTAATGAAATGGTGCCTAATGTCAATGTGTTTCGTCCTTGAATGAAGAACAGGGTTCTTCGTCAAGCTAATGGCACTAGTATTGTCACAACGAAGAGGAACGTGACTGATACTAAGGCCATAGTCCACGAGTTGTTGCTTCATCCAAAGGATTTGAGCATAACAACTACCGGCGGCAACGTATTCCGCTTCGGTTGTGGATAACGCAACACTGACTTGTTTCTTGCTAAACCATGAAACTTACTTTTGCGGTCCAATTTGCAACCGGCAAAGTCCGAGTCGGAGTAGCCAACGAGAAGACACGAAAAGCCTTTTGGATACCACAGTCCAACGTTGACCGTGCCGACAAGGTATTTCATGATCCGTTTCACCGCGATTAAGTGCGATTCCTTCGGACATGATTGATACCTCGCGCAAAGGCATACGCTAAACATGATATCCGGCCTACTAGCGGTAAGATAGAGAAGAGATCCAATCATACCTCGATACTTTTTGACTTCTACTTCCTTACCTTTCTCGTCTTTGTCAAGATGGTCAGACGTGCTCATCGGGGTCGCCATGGCTTTGGCGTTGTCCATTTCAAACCGTTTTAGGAGCTCCTTGCAGTATTTAGCTTGGCAAATGAACGTTCCATCTTTCATTTTCTTAACTTGGAGTCCCAAAAAGAATGTGAGCTCGCCCATCATTGACATTTCAAATTCGCTAGTCATGAGCGTTGAGAATTCCTTGCACAAAGACTCGTTAGTAGCACCGAATATAATGTCGTCTACATAAACTTGAACCAAAAGGATGTTATTGTTTTTACTCTTGATAAAAAGGGTAGTGTCAACCTTTCCCCTTTGGAAGCCACTATCCAAAAGGAATTTACTCAAACGTTCGTACCAAGCACGTGGTGCTTGTTTAAGACCGTAGAGCGCTTTCTTGAGTTTGAAGACGTGATCGGGAAACTCAAAGTCCTCAAACCCCGGGGGCTGGTCAACATACACTTCCTCTTGAATAAAACCATTGAGGAAGGCACTCTTAACATCCATTTGATAAAGTTTAAAATCCATAGACGAAGCAAAAGCAAGAAGTAAACGAATAGCTTCTAAACGTGCTACAGGTGCATACGTTTCTTCAAAATCAATGCCTTCTTCTTGATTGTAGCCTTTAGCTAC